CAGTTGAAGCCATTGGGACATTTCGTTTAGTTTTAGATAGTGGATTTCATTTAGATTTGTTTAAAACTCTTTATGTTCATTCAATTTCCCGTAATTTGATTTCTATGTCCAAACTTGATATTGATGGTTTTTCATTTAAATTTGGTAATGGATGTTTCAGTTTGTTCAAAAAATCCCAATTTGTTGGTTCTGGTATTCTTGTTGATGGTTTATACAAGATAAAGCTTGATGATTTATTTTCTGAAACACTTTTGACCTTGCATCATAATGTTGGAACCAAACGTAGCTCAATTAATGAAAATTCATCTTTCTTGTGGCATAAAAGATTGGGTCATATATCCAGTGAAAGGTTAAAAAAATTAGTAAAAGATGAAGTTCTTTGGCATCTAGATTTTACTGATTTTATTGTGTGTATAGATTGTATTAAAGGTAAACAAACCAAACACACCAAGAAAGGAGCCACAAGGAGTATAGAGCTTCTTGAAATTATTCATACAGACATTTGCGGACGTTTTGATGTTCCATCTTTTGGTGGAGAAAAATATTTTATCACCTTTATAGATGATTTTTCACGTTATAGATATATCTATTTGTTGCATGATAAATCTCAAACAGTGAATACTCTTGAAGTATACTTAAATGAGGTTGAAAGGCAACTAGATAAAAAAGTGAAAATAGTAAGGTCGGATAGAGGTGGTGAATATTATGGAAAGTATGATGAAACGTGTTAATGCCCTGGACCGTTTGCTAAACTCCTTGAAAAGCGTGACATTTGTGCTCAATACACTATGCTAGGCACGCCACAGCAGAATGGTGTAGCAGAAAGGCGTAATCGTACTCTTATGAAAATGGTTAGGAGTATGTTAAGTAATTCCTCGTTACCCATATCATTGTGGATGTATGCTCTTAGAACTGCTATGTATGTATTAAATAGGGTTCCTAGTAAGGCAGTTCCAAAAACTCCATTTGAACTGTAGACAGGAAGGAAACCTAGTTTAAGGCACCTACATGTTTGGGGTTGCCCAGCGGAAGTTAGGATTTATAATCCACATGAAAAGAAATTGGATTTTAGAACAGTTAGTGGGTACTTTATTGGTTGCCCAGAAAAATCCAAAGGGTATAGGTTTTACCGTCTTACACATAGTATAAGAATTGTTGAAACCGGTAATGCTAGATTCATTGAGGATGGTGAAATCAGTGGGAGTGATAAAAATGATAATGTGATCATTCAAGAAGTTAGGGTACAAATCCCTTTGCCCACAACTTCTAAAGAAATAATTGTTTCTTCAGTTGTTGAACTGCATAACAACGAAGAACAATTAAATGATCGACAACTCCATAATGAAACTATCACCAATGAAGTTATAGAAGAACCACAAGGAATAATATTAAGACGGTCTCAAAGAGAAAAGAGACCTACTATTCCGAATGTTTATGTGGTATATCTACATGAATCTGATTTTGATATAGGGATATGTATGGATCCGGTTACATATTCACAAGCCATTAATAGTAATAATTCTATTAATTGGATTAATGCCATGAATGAGGAGTTGAAGTCAATAGAACAAAATAAAGTTTGGGAACTCATTGAATTGCCTGAAGGATCTAAACAAGTCGGGTGTAAATAGGTATTTAAGACCAAACGCGACTCTAATGGCAATATTGAACGATATAAAGCCAGACTTGTAGCCAAGGGTTTCACTCAGATATGAGGCATTGATTATAAAGAAACCTTCTCTCCTGTATCTAAGAAGGATTCCTTTAGAATTATCATGGCGTTTGTAGCTCATTATGATTTAGAGTTGCATCAAATGAATGTGAAAACAGCTTTCCTAAATGGGAGTTTAGAAGAAGAAGTCTATATGGATCAACCCGAAGGCTTCAGATTAGAGGGTAAAGAACGCATGGTCTGTACACTTAAGAAGTCAATATATGGGCTTAAACAAGCTTCCCGACAATGGTATATTAAGTTTAATGATAGTATTACTTCTTTTGGTTTTAATGAAAATACTGTTGATCGGTGTATATACTAGAAGGTTAATGGGAGTAAGTTTATATTTCTGATTCTATATGTTGACAATATTTTGCTTGCTAGTAGTGATCTTGGTATATTGCATGAAACTAAAAATTATTTCTCTAAGAATTTTGAGATGAAAGATATGGGTGAGGCATCCTACGTGATAGGAATAGAAATATTTCGTGATTGGTCACGTAGATTGTTAGGATTGTCTATTGAGAGAATTCTAGAGAGATTTGGTATGAAACATTGTTCAGCTAGTATTGTTCCAATACAGAAAGGGGATAAATTTAGTTTGATGCAATGCCTAAGGAATGAATTAGAACATAAAGAAATGCAAAATATTCCTTATGCATTTATTGTGGGAAGTTTGATATATGCACAGGTTTGCACTCGTCCAGATATTGGTTTTGCAGTTGGAATGCTAGGCAGATACCAAAGCAATCCAGGAATGCATCACTGGAAAGCTGCAAAGAAAGTCATGAGATACTTACAAGGAATAAAGAATTATATGCTCACATTTCGAAGGACTGGTGACTTAGAGGTTATTGGTTACTCAGACTCAGATTTTGCTGGATGTGTGGATAGTAGAAGATCCACTTTTGGTTATTTGTTCCTTTTAGCTGGAGGGGCAATATCATAGAAAAGTGCAAAACAGTCTATTATTGCTTCATCTACTATGGAGGCTGAGTTTGTAGCATGCTTTGAGGCTACAAATCATGGTTTGTGGTTGCGGAACTTTATTTCAGGATGTGGTATTATGGATTCAATTTTCAGACCGCTGAAAATTTATTGTGATAACACCGCAGCTGTCTTCTTTACTAAAAACGATAAGTATTCCAATGGCGTTAAGCATATGGAGCTGAAATATCTTACCGTTAAAGAAGAAGTTCAGAAACAACGAGTGTCTTTTGAAAATATAAGCACATAACTTATGGTTGCAGATCCATTAACAAAATGATTACCACCCAAGACATTCATAGGGCATGTTGAAAGAATGGGTCTTGAATGTAATCAAAGTTAACTATTATTTTTGGTATGGATTGCTTAACAATGCTTATATATATTTGACATTTTGAGCTCATTAAAATGTGTTTATGTTATTTCCTGTTAATTTATGTATGTACATGCATGTATTACTTTAAATGATGAAAACATGAATAGTCTTAGAAAAGACATTATTGCTAAACCTTTATTATTTCTTCTCACTTATAGACTATGTTAAATGGGTTACTAATATTGTGGTACATGGAACGGACTGCGTCATTTAGAGACATACAACCGCCATGACTCACATTGGTAATTTGTTTACCATGGTATTTATGATGACCATATTAATATCTTAATTTGATTTATGGTGCACACTAATGGCTATTTTACTAAACTACTACAGAAGTCATCATATGTGCCAAGTGAGAGAATGTAAGATTATTTATATAATTGTGACCCACATGATTTAAACAAGTGACATATTACTTGGTGGCTAAGTAAATAAATATTAATTAATTATTCTTGGTCAACTTATAATTACCTTTTTGGTAATTACTTATTGGAGAAGTGTTTTCCTTCTAATTCCTTACTTTGATGGAAAGTAGAATTATGTTACTAAAAGGAAAACTGGTCCTCTCTCTGCCTTTATAAAAGTGAAATGTTCCATCAATTATATACGATTATTGAGACAACACGTAAAAGGTTATTGTGTGCAAAAGGCCAAGAGAGAGAAACCAATTTCCACCTTTGCCTGTTGATCAGAGTTGCAGATTGGTTCGTGGTTAAAGGATCTAGACATTAGATTTAATCTCAACAAGGTTTGATATCATGAATCGAGGTATGTATATCTAATTATATTTATTTATGTTTTATAAGGATGTGAAATTAATTAAAGTTCTAAGATTTAGGGTTTTATGATAATTTGTGATTAAAATCTAACACAAATTTAATTAGAGTTTACAGATAGACCTACCATGTCACATGTAATTTCTATGCTCCCTGAGGAAACTAGACCACTTTCGACGGCTAAACAACCAGCCTTTTTCATTGGTAGGAATGTGCTTGAGGCAGATGCTTCCCAAGGCATGCCAAAAATTTATTCTGTCAATGATGTGTCAATTTCAGAGATGGAAGCTAGGTAAAGGTACCAATGATTTGTTTGCATTATGTATTCATAATATTTCCAATTTAACAGCAAAGTTCTATGAATAAAGTGAATTAATTATGTGTCCAACCCTGTTTATAAGATAATTTATATTATTCACCATTTTTGTTTTATTTTGAGATAAGTTATTTCTCAATCACAACTAGTTTTTGTAAAATTGAAATGCTTTTGTTCATGCACTGTACTTCATTGCTAATATTTCATCAATCATGCAATTAACAGTCCTCTTATTATGTGTCTAACTCTGTTTCTAAGATAATGTATCGGGTAAAATACAATAAACCCACTTGAATTTTACTCTCCCTCTCTCTCTCTCTCTCAAAAAAATCCCCCCTAAACTTCTACTTTTATAATAAACTTCCTAAACTATTTTCTTTTTTACAAAAAAAACACCAAGTGACACTATTCCGGCGCCTAATCATCAATTGACCCAAGATATAATTTCAAAATAACAGAGTTACTCTTATTATTATTAAGAAAATAAATAAATAAAAATTCCAAATTAAAACGTAATTTTTTAACCCTAATTATCTTCACAAGTCGCCATCGCCATCAGCAAGTCAAGTGCTCGCTCAAGCTCGTTAGTGTCGTCTTCCTCAACATCGGCGAAGTTCCCTGCTATCTCCTACCCCACTGCCCACGTTCACACCCGGTTGGCTTGTTTACCAATTTTCTGATTCCAAACAGTTTCCGATGGACTCCCGAAAGACCACCCACGCTACAACGATCGATTCATACTTCGATGCTTTGGAAGCCGTGTCTCTGAGAGATGCTAACCTCCGATCGTTTCAATTCTTGACGCAGGAGGTCTGGTTATGTGCATCATAGATGATGGGATCTTTGATTTCTCTCTTGACTCTGCCCAAAAAAAAAATGTTTCCCTTAATTTATTTTGATATGATCAACCGTTGGTGCGTCAAATTCATTTTGTAGGTCAAATTCTGCAACTTACAGGTGAAGTAGAAGGTATGTTGTCAAAGTCTCAATTTTGCCAAAATAATTCTATAACAGGTTATATGGACATAAACCATCTTACTGGAAGATTGGATGTAACTTTCAATTGTTCATTTACTATTCTTTATAAGCAAAAATCATCTTACAGGTGAATGGCCGAATCATCAATCATTGGGAGAAAAAAAAAAATAACAATTTTAGACTACGAAACCCAACTGTCGTGGACAACTCAATAATGGCGGCGTAGGATTGCGAAGATTCGTACAGCAGCAATAGCTATGGATGCTAAGAGAGGAAACGCAGACGTTGATTTCGTGATTAAGTTGGTTTGATTTGCCAAATCGAGTCCCAGACAAAATATCAGGAGTCGGCCGTGATTATCGCTGGCGTGATAGGGGTGGAGATGGTGGTGGTTATGGGGGTGTTTGTTGTTGGGTGGGGATGTAGTGGCGGTTATGGGAATAGTTGGAGTGGTGCCTCCGCATCTGTGGTGGTGGTGGTGTTGATGCTGCGTCGGCTGGTTCAGAGAAGAGACGATGGTTGGTAGAGAGAAGATTAGGGGATTGGGATTATGATATTACTTAAATGTCCCTATTATTAATGATTTGGCAGTACATGATGTGGATATTTTTGTCCAAAAAAAATTGTGACAAGGCATATGTGTTGTCACAATATTATTAGCTTTTACTAAAGGATAATTTTATAATTAAACATTTCCGGTTAGTTGGTGCCGGCAAATCTAGATTTTGTCCTCTAATTATATTTTTTTAATAATTTAGGGGGCATTACTTAATATTGAGGGTTTTTATGCTTTTAGTTAAAAGTTCAAGATAGTTTATTGCACTTTATCTAATTTATATTATTCATCATTTTTGTTTTATTTTGAGATATGTTATTTCTCAATCTCTACAAAGTTTTTGTAGATTATGAATTAGCAACCAGAGCTCTGTCATAGCAAGATTCATGCCTCAAGTTCTTGTCACTTGTTGTTCAATCACTTTTGGTTTATACATATATATATATATATATATAATGATCACTGTTCCCAAAAATTTGAAAAGGTCATACAATTTGATTCTGGAGTGTTTGTGTTCCAAGTTCAAGAAAGGGTGGAAGAAGGCTTCTCTAAATATGCAGCCCCATTTAGTTGAAGGTAACCACAAGTGGATTATTATTTTGGTAGATGCACCAATCAAAGAAGCGTATAGTTTCCACACAAATTATGCTCTCTACAATGATAGAGAGATGAAAATTCCATCAAACAATTTACATTGTAAAGTGCTTGATTTTTTTACCTCTCAGTTCGGGGAGCATACTAATAAGAACAATGCTAATCAACAGACTTTGTAAATCAAATTTTCAAATGAATTAAATCATAATCGTTGGATTAGTGATACTAGGTCTAGGAATGAGGAAAGCATGACAAAGAATTAAATGACACATAAGAGTAAACGAATTAAACCACAACCGTTGTTCGTCTTACTTGAAAAAAAAAAAAAAAAAAGATTCTGGAGTGTTTGTGTTCCAAGTTCAAGATAAGGGTGGAAGAAGACTTCTTTAAATAGGCAGGCCCCATTTGGTTGAAGGAAACCACAAGTGGATTATTATATGGGTAGATGTACCAATCAAAGAAGCATATGATTTCCCAACAAATGATGGTCTTTACACTGATAGAGACATGAAAATCCCTTCAAACAATTTGCATTGTGAAGTGTTTGATATTTCTACTGCTCAACTTGGGGAGCATATTAATAATAACAATGCTAATCAGCAAATTTTGTAGAATTTTCAAACAAATTAAATCACAATCATTGAATTAGTAAGACTACGAAAACGTGGCAAAGAATTAAATGGCACATGAGAGTAAATGAATTAAACCACAACCGTTGGTCATGACTATTACATGGAAATATTGTTAGGACAAAGTGACATTATAATGCAATATGTAGTTGTATGAGTTGGCAATTTAAACACCCCAATTCCTGACTCATCATGTTTGCATTTTTTTTAGTTGTCGTCAAATTTAGTGAGGTTTTAACGTTATTAGTATCAAATGTAAACGGCAGTTGACAAAAGAATAAAACACGTTATGGGTTTTTCATAGTTAACCACTGCGACAGTTATACACCAATATAATTACCATTCTTGTTTCAACAATGCTACGCCTGAGAAATGGCCACTTTGTCACAAGAATATTGATACTGTTTTAATAAAAGGCAAACCTTAAAAATAGGTTTTTCGTTTTTTTTTTTTTTTTTTTTTTTGATACCAATAACAGAGCATTTTTCACAAAGGAGCAAGTTTCTGGAGTTCATCATTCCAAAGAAAAAACTTTCTAGAGTTCGTTAAGGTCTAACAAGAGAGGTCTAGGGTAGAATTCTATCTCAAACTCTCTCCAAGATTTGGATTCAGTCTAATTCACTGTTGATACAGTTGGTCCAGTCCAGATTTCAATGGCCACCGTTTTGCCACGTCGCGCTCATGATTAAGTTTACAAACCCACGCAGCAGTAACGTTTTAGCCAAAAATTCAAAGAAACAAACCCAAACATAAATTATGGTTTACAAGGGACTACGTGGCAAAACGGTGACAAAAAAAATAAATAAATAAAATAAAATAGACCGGACCATATCAACAGTGAACTAAACTGAATCCAAGTCCTCCATTAACATCACTTGTTCAACAATCACAACCTTCTATCAATGTCTTCCCCCAAAAACCAATCATTTTAGTTGGAAAAATTTGTAATTTCATCATAATTCAATGGCATAATTGTCATGGGATGTTCAGAAATTCAGCCTAATTATGGTTATGTTTGGTCATCATGGATTTTTTTGTTGCTCTTTTATTTAATTCGTTTTAATTCACGCGTATGGCCTAATGATATCTTTTTTATCTTCAAAGTGAAAGGTATAGTGTTTACGTCTCCAAAAAGTCACTAGCAAAAATCGAGAGAACTCAACTTTGACTCGATTATGAATAACACACATATGGATTTAGATATGTCAATGGAACAATTACGGAACGAGACACTCCTATATCCACAAACAAAAAAACATTTTTCAAATTATCTCGGTCACCTCATATCAAAGTTGGGGTTGGTTCAAGATGTTTGACACGCATCTTATTTATTTATTTATAAAAAATACAGAGTAATAATCTTGAACAAAATTAAAATAAATATTACAGGAAAATTCAACTTAATTATAGTCAATTACTTAATGATCATAATAGCAAAATTGTTATTAAAATCTAAAAGTATGATGAAAATATAAAAAAGGGTTTGTTCGGCTAATGTTTTTACTTCATATTCTTTACTTTTGCTAGTGTACTGTAGCGAAGCAAAAGTATAAAACATGTTTGATAATATTTGTTGCCATTTAAATAGTACCGAGGTGCTTCCAAAAAAGCAGTCAAAATCGGAAGCATAAAAATGATGTTTTAAAATGATGTTTTTGGTTACTTTTGCATAGTAGCAAAAGTACTATTAATATATATATATATATAAAATGACATTTTTATTTAATCATTTGATTTTTCAAACTTGCAATACTTTTTATCAAACATGCTTTTATATTTTTGTTTCCAAAGCCCTTGTAACAAATTTACGTTACCAAACAAATTTTAAAATAGTATTAGACACACTTTGTTATTTCGGATCAAAATAAAAATACAAAATTAAAAACAATTGTCAAACGACTCAAACAGATTCTAAAATCAAGTAAACAAACTTAACCCAACCCTACGAGGAACCCAAACTTGTCCCATACGGACCGGTAGACTCCTCATGAATCATATGTACTTATGCAGTGGTTTTACACTTTTACCTGGTCTCGGTGTGTAGTGGTAAGTCCATCAATCGTTTTCCATATCATTATGATATGATAGCATGTGATAGATACCAGACAACTATTATGATATGGCATTAGCTAATCCGTTGGCCAAATAATAAGTTTATTAAAATAATTTAATTATAAAAATTATTAAAATAAATAAACAATATTTAAAAAATAAGGAAGATGAATTTGCATAACCAATAACTTAGGTGGAAAAACTTTTTTAGAGGTTTAAACTTGAGACATGAGACACGAGGGTCTAAAGTCTCACCAGCTAAATTACTCGGGTTTTAATTGATAAAGTTTTTAAGATATTTATTTTAAATTTTTACACACAAAAAGGATGAGATTTGAATTTAAATAATGTACCTAATTATACTGTTAGAAATCTTATCTATAAGTTGACTCAACGATTATGGCAGATTTATTGGGTCTTCAATATAGGCTAATTTTTAGGGATTTTATTTTTATTCTGATTTGATTTGATTTTATTTTATTCTCTTTTCCATATTTGTAATTTTTCGCTGGTATATAATGATAGTCAGGCTCTCAAATTGAGTACGCCAATTTTACCAAGTTACTTTTTGGTATAAGAGCCTCAAACCTACGCCTCCCCCATCTCTCTTTCTTTCACCGCCTCTTTTAATATCTCTCTCTATCTCGTTACAGCCCCTTCCCTATTTTTTTTTTTCACAGACTTTCTCTCTTTTTCAGGTCACTGTTGCGACAGTCCTAGGGGGAGTCAATCTCCTCTAGGTTCGACCCCTGTAGGGGTATTCCCTTAGTCTTTTTCATGCACTAAGGGTCAGAAGACGTGTTTGTAATTTTTTGGGGCTACTGGGATATTCGGCAGCATTTTCGGATCAGACCGCCGTATCTCCGGCTTCTTGGTTTGATCAAAATCAGGTCTATTCCTCCTTTATTTGAAATTATTGGTAATCTGTTGAATTGATCTATTTAATATTCTGGCTGAATCAAGTAATAATAAAGAAACTCTCTTTTCGGCGCAACACACACCGGCTCAACGAGTTACTAGTGTACTGTTGAATGGCCGTAATTTTGCATCCTGGGCTCGTTCCCTCCGCCTCTATGTTGGTGGAAAAGGCAAATCAGGGTGGATTTTGGGTACTGAAAATAGGCCAGATATTAAAGATCCTAAATATGCTCAGTGGGATATGGACAGTTGCACCATTTTAGGATGGATATTTAATTCTATGGAGGAACGCATTTATAATATATTCATATTTTATGACTCTGTTAATGACTTGTGGACTGCTTTGAATCAAATGTATGCTCATTCTAGGAATGATGCTCGTATTTTTGAATTATATCAAGATATTGCTAAGGCCTTGAAGGAAGGCCTGAATTTGTCTTTAACTGATTATTTTGGGT